CTTTTTTCCCTTTTGAAAATCCATTTTTTCATCGATTTAGAAAAAGAAATGCCCCTTTACCGATTTCAATACCCAATAAAGTGGTCCAGAAATTTGCAATTTTTGGCCCCAAATTTCCGAAAATTAAAAAAATTTTGACAATTTCCAAAATTTAAAGGGCCAGAATGAAAAAATGGGGGACTTTTCCCGGCCCCTAAAATAAAATTTTCTTTGTTCATCAGTCACGTTTTCCCGGCCCCTTGGTTTTTACTCTTTTTTTTTGTTTTGAATTTTTTTTTTAAACAAAAAAATTGGGAAAAATTTACTGTTTTGCAGGGCTAATGCAATATTTTAATAATTTTTAAATAATGTTTAACCCATTCATGAAAAACATAAAATTTGAATGGCTTTCTTGGACTTGTATTGGAAAATGACATCCTTTGTTTACTTTTGAACATCGGCAAAAATCAAACATTTCCCCTACTTTGAGCTCCATTTCAAGGTCCTTTTCATAGTAAAATCAATCAAAATCACCTTTATTTCTATAAAATGTTTTCCATTCTATTAAATGAGACCAAGAAAACGAGAATACAACCATAAATACTATACGAAAATAGACCACAAAGTCGGCATTTTTAATTAAAAAAAAACGGTCGGAGTTTTTTTTTTCTCATTATGCACTGCGTGCTGCAAGATTTTTTTTTATATGGTGCACACTGACCACACAGACCCATTCTCTCACATGTGGGCCTACCAACTTTCTCCTGCTTGATTTGAAGCCGCTAGAATTTATGAGTATATATACGTCAAAGACGGTGGCTCGTAAGATGTATATATATGACCAAAACAGTCAAAGGGTTAAATGTGGATTTTCTGTTTTTTTTTTTTAATGGGTGTGAACTGTTTCTGTGATTGATCATTGCACAAGTGATGATTATATTATTTTTTAGGAATACAACTTGTATGGAATATAGTTCATAATAGACACAGATAATGGTGAGATGAGTACTATTATTTTATTATTGTCTAGTTTAGTAAATTAACATGGTTTGGATTGCATAAAATTAGTTATGCATTCAATAATTATTTTTATATATGTATCTAGTTGTAGTGGCAGTTTATTTTTAAGAAATTTCAAAACATTTGGCTAAATTTTCTAAAATTAAAAAAAAAAAATTACATTTCATTATTGTTTATGAATGCAATAATAATTAACTATGTTGAGTACTGTATTTATTTACCTATGGTGTCTACAGTGTATCTCATAATAGTTCTGATATTTAGAAAGATACATGAATATATAATATCAGTCAGATACAATTGTGACATTGTATCAAACCCTGATACAGTGGTTGGTAAAGAAGGACATCAGCCCTAAATCCCTGTTAACACTTATGCAATCCATATGCAGTGGAACTTCGGTACATGAACAGCTCCCTACTCAAAACTCAGCACTCAGCCAAACAAACACAACCTGCCAAAACTGCACTGTAAACTATTTTGTGTTTCTTAGCATTATTTGGCGTTTTTTTTTTTATATTTTTTTTATATTATTTATATTTTATATAGAGTGGGAGAGGCACTGTCAAGAAATTTTAATGAAAATAAGAAAAAAATTTTGGAGTGAGTTAAAAAAGTTAAAGCCTAGGGAACAAATGGATTTATCAGTTAAAAACAAGAGTAGGTGAGTTAGTATTTAGGGAGATGGGGTACAGTGGACCCCCGCATAACGAGGGAAATCGCATAGCGATTTTTCCGAAAACTTTTACTTTTATCGCAAAATTTTTGCCCCGCATACCGATTAAAAACCCGCATACCGATTTTCGTCCGAGACGCGTCCAATGGCCCTCACCACCTCACATGTGCCGCTCCGCCCCATTGTTTACCACCCCCTCGCCGGTAAAATCCAAGCATCACTCGGAATTTTTTCGTATTATTACATATTTTCGGTGCTTTTTCTGGAAAAAAAGTGACAGGGGCCCCAAGAAAGCTTTAGTGCCCCCTACCCCCAAAAAAGGTAAAAATTACTATGAGATGAAGAAAGAGATAATTGAAAAGTATGAAAGTGGAGTCTTTTAAGCCAAACCTTTCAAGCTTTACAAGAAACCCCAACAACCATCGCTACTATTGGGGCACCAAAAAGACAATAAAGGAAGCTGTTCTTCCAAAAGGGTTCAACTGGTTTTCGAAAAAAAGATCGCAATTGATGGAAAAAGTTGAGAGCCTTTTTGGTGTGGATAAATAAAAAAAATAGCAGGGGAAGCGCCTCAAGCATCATATGTGAAAAGGCTGGGAAGTTGCATGAGTTTTAAATTTAAAAAAATGCTGCAATATGATGAGTGAGTGAAATGGGGCCACAAAGGTTGGGTTTAGAGATTTAAGGAAGCGTAGGGGCATCCATAGGTAAAAAGGCATGGTGAGGCTCCCAGTTCGGCCACAAAGCGGCAAAAAATATTGCAAAATTTCAAGAGTAATAAAAAAGAAGGACTGAAACCTGAACAAGTTTTTAAAATTGAAAAACAGGCCTGTTCTGGAAGAAAATGCCAAAAAGGACCTACATTCTCAGGGGGAAAAAAGGCACTCCCAGGACAAAGCCATGAAAGCACTTATTTTTGTTGATGTTGCCAATGCTACTGGTGATTGCAAATGAAGTTTTTTTTATTATGTATCACTCTAAAAACCCCCAGAGCGTTCAGGCAAAAAATGCCCCAAAGATAATTTGATGGCTGTGGGGGCAACAGTAAGGAGGGGGCACTGGGGAATTTTTCTAAAACTGGTTCCCATGCATTTCCCCCCCAATGTAAAAATTTTACCTAACTGAAAAAAAATTAAACAAAAGTGCCCCTGGGTTAGACAATGCCCTGGTCACCTACAGAGTGGCAGAGCGACTTTATGGGCTGAGTTTCTTAAGGGGGGAAGTTTTTGCTCCTAATCCCACTCCTCTCCTGCACCCCATGGACCAGCGGGTTATTTCCAACTTCAAGAAATGTACACAAAAGCCTTTTGAAAGGTGCTTTTTTAAGCCTCAAAATAAACTGCTCTAAGAGAGTTTTGGAGAGTCACTTTAATATCCCAATTTTTAAAAACCTTTGGGAAAGGCTTGGGGGGAAGTGACAAAGAGGGCCGAAAATCTGCTTGGAAGAAACGGGCCAGAAGTGTAGACAAAAGGGGTTTTGAAGGGTTTGAGGCTAACCCGAAATCCTGTGCCATTGAGGAATCCCTTGTGGCTTTTGGGAAAATCCTTGGGTTGGGGGGTTGTGGGAGGGTTGGGAAAAGTTGGGGAGGAGGACAATGAAAATAACCCCTGATGAGCTGCTAGATCAACTTCAAGAGCAAGGCCACACCAGAAAATTGTTCGGGGGAGGGGGAGAAAATGAAAAAGTTGCCTACTTCAAAGATTAAGGAAATCTGTGCAAAGTGGTTTAAGTCAAAACCCCATGGAAGAAAATCACCCTCACCAGTATTGCAAACCGGCGGTGATTATTACATGAAAAAGTTTGAAACACTTTTGGCAAGTAAAAGGAACGAGAGGGACAGGCCCCTAGGGCAGATACTTTTGCGAAAGAAGTCCAGTGACCTGAAGTGGCCCCCGTGGTTTTAAAAAAAGAAAGGGGGTAACCCCAGAAAAGGACTTTCTACCCCAAGTCCTAATGGAAGGGGATTCCCCCTTTAAACACTAACACCCCTCCCCCTCCTCCCATCCATCAATCATCCCAATCTTCAATAAAGAATGTCATTTAATTGTGCATGCCTTTTTTAGTTGTGGTATTAAAATTAACATTTTATGGGGTTAAAAAAAAATTTTTTTTTATACTTTGGCGTTTTCCGGATTAATTTTTTCCATTTTTTCTTTTGGGGAAAATTCATTTGCATAAAGATTATTTCGATAACGATGGCCCCTTGCACGGATTAAAAACGTTAACCCCGGGGGCCACTTTTTTGGTAGATGGGGGAAATTTTTAAAGGGGCTTTCAATTCGACAAGGAAAGGGGGGGCAGTATTTTATGCAGGGTAGGAATTTTACCCTTTTTTAGGGGTGAAGAGCAGGATGCAGTGTGGGGGGGTT